GCCGAGTGGTCTAAGGCGCCAGACTCAAGTTCTGGTGGAGAGATCCTCGTGGGTTCGAATCCCACAGCTGACAAGGCTACTCCATCTGCATAATAACGATATTATCAGTATTGGGCGAATACTACTCGCAGTGTTGTACAATTGAAATTGGGCAACATACTACAGATTTAACTGATGAAATCGCCTTGGTTTGCTTGGACTCTAGTTCAAGAGCCTGTTGAAAACACCTTATGGTGATAACACAAATCTTCCGAAAAACAAAGAAAGCTTTAAACGTCACTCCCTCATGGGTCAATAAACCGGTCCAGAATGGGTGAAGGACCAAACAAAAATAGGACTCAGCATTGCTGGCCCGTCCTCTACAATTAGACTCTCCTTTGACCGTATGTGTAAGGCATCGGAGCCAGTGCCACTCAGGGGTACATTACGAAGATACTAATACGGTTTGAGTCATACCACCGCGGTACCAGTGAAGCATACTCCAGAGGCTCCCGACCACCACCTTAGCATCCTTGCCAACCCACAGTGGTTGGCCCGGGATTAACAAGAGATGGTTCACCTCGCATAAATCATCACATTGCAGTTCAACAAACGGAGTAGCGTACTCTGCTTCAATGTATCCCTCATCTACGGTGATATGCCCTGCTGCGAACCTCGTTATTTTGGATATCGGGAAGTCAGCCATGGTTCCAAGAATGAGATAGTTCTGGCTACTGGATAGCGCCACGCACTCCCCAAGCTTGCACAGGGCAGCCAAATCAATGCAGCGTTGTTCACGAGGCTCCAGATGCCATGACAAGTTTGCGGGCTTCTGAGTGAGCAAGTTGAACACGGTCACTTCGTGTTTCCCATCAAAGGCTTCGGCACAGAACTGCACACCATCAACGGAATAATTCAGGAAGAGTGTGGGCTCGCTGAGGTTATAGAACGTGCGCGCCATGTTCATAGCAATTTTCGGACGCCCCGAATACTCGAGTGTCGACCAGCTTACCGTCGGCCAGATATCGTTCGCCTGCCAGTATCTAACGAAATCTATTATCGCCTGGTGATCATTTTGTAGCTCACAAAAGCCCCATGTTGTAGGGTTGAAGCCGACGACAGTGCTCCACGATAAGCTTCATCCACATGCCCTGAACAACTTGCGATAGAAACGCCTCGGCGGCCCTTAACTTCAATGACGCTACCCCTGACAAAGTCACCATCACATACAGCGAAAGTAGCAACAGCATCACCCACCTTCACCGTGCTGTTTACCAAACAAATACTCAACGTGGTCTTGTAAATGGAGGTTTCCACCGTCCAAATGTTGACGATGTAGTGGCCAGCTGCCTGACTGGTTCAGTCAAAACTCTCCAGTTGGGCGCATTACCCGGATGGCTGGTGAAAAGACTATCCTCCAGCATCACGTCATCTGCTACACTCTTCAGTTGGCCCAAACTAGACCACGACTGAAATCCGAACTCGCTGAGGAATCGTGGCTCGGGGAGGACAGTCAAGTTGAAGATGTTAGGATGGGTGTAGTCGTAGAAGTGCATCTGATAGAAGCCCCCCTCCATGTTCGTCTATCTATACGCTAATTACATCCCCTTTTGCCTCATCGTTAGGATTTTCAGCGATAGGATGTTCCCGAGTCTCATCGCCGTTCCAGGGGCTACTCGGAATGGCTGGCAGCCACGGCATGAGCTCTCGAGATGTGTTCAATATCGTATCGAAGAACAGCGATCGGTAGCTCTCTATGTACCTTATGAAGCATCCATCTAGTGAACTGATATAGACAGGTAAAAGCCGGCCAATACTGCCACCGCTGTTGCGCTCTTTACCGCGGCCCATTAGCAAACACTACCAATGATAGTGGAGCATCGCTATAACTAAGGTTTCGAGTATTATAATCAGCACTCGAGCCGTGGATACAACAGTGATACTTCGCGTGTCTAAAGTTTTGTAAGATCAAGATAAAGATATCATCAATTAGCCTCCCTGCTCACGCTTCGTATTTGGTAAGTTCTTTTACCCACGCATATAATGCCTCAACTTCATTGCTGCCCCCGAGGATTGCCAGGGACGGATGGTGTCCACTGAATTATAGAAGGTCATCCAATAATCGACATACACCACCATAGCAAAGCAATCAACTAGTACAGGAGAATTGGTCTTACACCCGGATCAGGTTCTGAGTTATCTCGGCTATAACAGAGTCCAAGTATCCTGGGGTGGAGGTTGGATACACACCACCAGCGAACATGGCCTCCTCCCATACTAGGAAGCCAAATCTGATCATCACAGCAATCGTCCGAAATCATGGACACGGGAATGACGAGATGCTCAGACTGGCTCGGAAGCCCCCGTTGGATTCGCTATGCCCTAAATCCTGGGCGGAACACGTTCAACTGGTAAGGTTACTCACTCGTCAGCTAGGTCATAGAACAAGTCTGATCCATACACTCCTCCTCCCCACACCCGCAGCATGTTGAAATGCGCTTTTTGATATCTAAACGAGTGGCAGCACTACGGTACAGACGACCAACTCAGTTTTACTGCTGGAAATGGGTCCGTAGTCTGCCCTCGTCTATCCTAGATTCAAATGCATCGGCAGGAATCCAATTAGCTCCTCTAATATAAATAGGTACACCGTTAACTTTGAAATAGAAAGATCGGCCGCCACCCGAGCTGACTGAGAGAGACAAGCTTTTATGCTCCTGCTCGTCTACAGGCCTGTCTACCTCGACCATCGGGGTCGTCATCAATCACTAGCTCAATTGTTTTAAACCCTACCGTGAATCGCCGAGCATTCTCCTCACGGCCGATCCCACCAAGCCAGGCCGACACAGAGAGTGTGTAACTAAAGCCGCAGGTGAGTTTCCTGACAAGCGGTTAACCGCCGCCCACCGATTCTGCTGACCGTAGCCATTAGGCCACCACATATCCACTGGCCCAGCAACCTCAAAGCTCAATCCACTCCCCGACACCGGCATCAATTCCTCTATGCTCACATTGCTCCACTCTCCCTTATACACCGGCATCTGATCATTTCTTTACCACAAACTTGGGGTTCACTGCTCAAACCCCTACTTGCGATTTATCCAGTAATGTAATCCTTACACTCACTTTATCATCATGGCCCACTGGGAGGATAAACGACATCTTCACATTAGCCCGCCAGCCTCCGCTTCCCCGCTCACCAACCGGCGGCGCCGTCGTCGTCCATAAGAGATCCCTATTGATCATCATTTAAGGTCAAGAGTTTCATTGTCCCTTTGTACTCAATAACGAGTGGTCTTCTACCCTTTCCCGGAGTATGAGTAACCAGAAGGATATCCTTCCATATCCCACCAGTGGCAAGGCCCGGTCCCCAATCCCACCCGAATGAGCAAGGCTCTTTTCGTATCTGGCCGGGGCTCTAATCTGCAAATCCCCCCGAAACTCCGACGCAGGAAATTTCAGCGTCTCATCGATTCCTCAGTTTAATCTGTTTATCGATACTGAACCCATGTCCACTGATTTGTAGCCCCTTGAAACGGACGAGAGCAACCGTACACGGTTTTCTCACCATTTGGACTCTATCGAACGCCTGCCATGATGGCGGTAAGTTCTTCGGTGGCACCCCTAGTGGCCAGTCCGAAGCGTGCTCCGTTTCGTATTTCCTAGCTCTTTCCTCAGCCTCCACTGTAGCGCTCTTCAACAATACTTTAATCTGACAGCCCCGTACTCAACTGCTGCCTGCCTGGAAAACCCACCTTATTTCGGTCCTGGCAAGAGAAGCCGCCCGGACCAATAGATATGTTGAATGCTCTGTACATATTATCAGAGATCAAAAGGGTACGGTTGTTCAGTTCAACTTCAGCAAAGGTGTCGAGGCCGAGGAAGATCAACGTTATTGGTGAAGATATCTACCAAAAGGTTGGCATAGAACAATGGTCCTAGTGTACCATTTGGGCATCGCAGGCTCCTTTTGGTAGGCGGAAATAGGCCTCATAGAGCCACGCTGACTCTGCAACATACCGCAATCTAAGCACGCAGTCTTAACTTCATCACTAAGGGAGCTAAAGATACGTTCTATCGTTGAATCCATAATAAGGATCTGGTATCAATCCTACACGCATGAGGTCAAGGTGGACCTAACGCACTCTGAAGATTATAGAGGCATCCTTCGGCCTACCTGGCCTGGGACAGATGCCTTTATAGGAGTAAAAGAGGCGTTATCGGGTTGACTTAAATACCATTGTACACCAGACAAGCTTGATAGGTTCCACGTAAAGTCTCCCATAGAGATATGGGCAGCGAATAGAGTAGCGTAGATCGCGGCCCACATTATAAAGTGTTAAGCTAGGATGCAATACTTCTCACGTGTCGAACGTAAGCAATACAAGTATTGAGCAAGACTAATCTTTCACTGCGGAGGTCATTTGACGTCACCGCCAAAACAAAAGTTGTAATCGTGTAACGCGCACTAGCGGAGCGATGCAGCTGAGGGACTTGCACGCGTGCACAGAGAATTGATTCTTCAGCACAAGGAATTAATCTGTTCATACAAGATATAGATTATATCAAGAGGGATCCCTTGAAGAGACATGGACAGCGGGCCATAACTTAGATGTAGTCGAAAAGTGTGACTGGAATGATGCAATCAGAACTTGGAGATTTTGGTATCGGGACAAGTAACGATTGAATGACAGCAGTGTGAGGTTACGGGCAAAGACTGTCCCCTGAGGCTGTGGGTTGTGAAATGGAGGCTGTCAAGCTAAAAAGATATGGCGTATCTAGCAAGGGCTAGAAGAACAAGGCTATCGGTAGACTAGGAAGCCTTTCAACCTTATTCGTATCTTCCCGAGTAGATCGTCATCTTTGGAATTGTTAGTTATTCTTAACTTTCATAAATTTACTATGGCTGGTCATATGCCCAAAATGAGTATGCCTAAGATGAGCATGCCGAATGTTCCCATGCCGCCAAAGGGAACTAGGTGGTATTGGTTCTGGATGGCAACCTATGCAGTTGGGTTTGGTCTTGTTGTTGCTGCATTGGCCGATTATGGTATCACACAAGAGTTCCCTCGATGCAACGGCTGGT